ATGGATTAATTGCAATGAATTTTTGGCCCTAACACCTTTACTAAAAGGTTTTCTCGTTGCTTTACTAGCTAGATAATTTTCCCATAAGGACATTTCCATATTTGTAATTGGACCTAGCATTCCTTCTTTAGCTAGCTTAATCATTCTATTTTGATTAATATGCCTTAGTCTAGCGTGCCAAATATTTATATCTACATTATTGGAAGAGGTGGCAAAGCAATCATGAAAATAAACTTTGTCAACAATATCCATAATAAAGAACCTTTTTGAAAGCAAAGCACAACCATAAAAAGTAATATTGTACATAATGTCAACAATCTTGTCATGAAAATTAATTACAAACCCAAATTTTAAAAGGCAAGCAATTGAAATTAAGTTTTGTCGGATGTCCAGTGCAGGTAAAACATCATGGAGAATTAAGGTTTTTCCACCTTGCAAGATCAACTTGCAAGTTCCTATGCCTTTTACCTCGATCCTCGCATTGTTGCCAATGTAAAGCTACTTGCTTTGATTCGGCAATTGATGGTACTTTATGAAGGATTCACAATCCTTGCTTACATGGTCTGTGGAGCCTGAGTCTACAATCCAAGAAAAGGAAACAGTTTTCGTTAGAAAAACATTACTAGAAACATAAGAAAAATGTGAATTCACATAATTTACAAGTATCTGATCACGTCCACTTTGCTCAGGACAGCCCTTTGCAAAATGGCCTATTTTTTGATAGGTGAAATATTTGACTTTTTTAAGGTTAATTCTCTTTTTGCTGCTGTGAACACTGTATTTTGTCTGAGCATTTTTTAAATTTTATAAAAATAATAATAAATAACCTAAAAAAAATAAAAATACAAAAATAAAATTTAATCCTTTTTGGGATTATATTTTCAAAATAAAAAAAAATATTTTAATTAATAGGGTTTAATATTATAATCTGTTGATTTGGATTTTATTTCTTTAGCTCATTAAAATAACTAAAAATATAATAAATATAAAAAAAATGAAAATTCAATCCTTTAAGGATTATTTTTCAAAAAAAAAAACTAAAAAATTGTGGTTAAATATATATATATATATATATATGTATATGCATACATATACACACGCGCGCGCGTGTGAACTGAAAGTTAAATGCTGGAAAATCCAACATTTTACCATCAGTTATGGTCCTTTAGTACAGAACACCAGACGAGCAGAAAGGAAGCTTCACACAGTAGCATGCACACATAAAGATAGCACATGAAACACAGACTTCAACCTTTCAGATAGACACAAGACAAGAAGGAACAGAAACATGCAACAGCAACACACACACACGAAAGCAGAATGCATACGAAGACCAGACATTACAGAAGGAAAAAGCAAAGCAGAACATGTAGAGAAAGAAAACAGAAGAAAAAGAAATGAAAACCAGAGCAAGACCGTACGCAGAAGAGGAAAACACACAGAAAAAAAGAAGCCACACACGAAACCAGAGTCAGACGCAGAGAAAAGGAAAGCTAGAACAACAGACCAACACCGAAACACACAATAGGGAAAGCCAAAGAACAAGGGAAAAGTAAAACACACAACCACGCATGCACGAAAAAGATGCTGGAAAACAGAGCACGAAAAGCAAAAAAGCAGAGAAAAAATAGAGTATAAAACATTAGAGAATAAAAGCATGAAAAAAGGGGGAAGGATGAAAAAGTAGAGGCGAAGAAAACCCAAGGACGGAGAGTAGAAAGAGTCAGAGAGAAAGAAAACAGAGACTGTCGTTCTTAGGAATAAAAAAAAAGAGGCTTAGAGAAGAGGAAGACTGAGAAGAAAACAAGATTGAGAGAGGAAAAGCTTGAACAGAAGCTGGACAAAAATAAAAAAAAGGAGCACCGAGTGTAAGAGACGAACGAATGAGAGAGATGAGGCATTATGAGCATCCCACGACACTACATGGAAGGTGAAGCAAAGGAGCATCAACCCATGAGTCTCTTAACCTCATCGATGATATTGTTTAAGAGAGTTAGCGAAGCAATGACAGTTCCTTCAAACTCTTACTTTCTGCTGCCATATGCTTCGCTCTGATGCACTCAACTTCTTTTACCAAATGAGGAAGGAGGAGTTGAAGCTTGTAGTAGGAGCCGAGAGGTGGAGAGGCACTAAAAAAAAGGAGGAAGAGGGTATAGAAATGAACCTGAAAACAGAGCATGAAAAAAAAAGATGAGAAGGAGATGCAGAAAAAGAACGAGAAGGAGACCGCGAGTGAGAGAGCATACATACAAAAAAGAAAAGAGAGAAGAGGGAGTTAAGGACTGGAAGAAAAGGAACAGATGAGAGAAAACTAAGAATAAGAGAGTTGGGGGTTGGAGAAGAGTGTTTAAGAAGGAAAGAGACCGAGAAAATAAGAAACAGTCCTCTTTAGCTGATCTGCTCCATGATGGTTGCTTCTGCTTATGTTTAACTGATGATGGAGTCTTGTGATTGCATTGAAACGTAATGACTCTAGGATGAATTTCTTATGAAATATCAATACATCTCAGACTTCCTGATCGCTCTTGCATATTTCTCAATTCCCATTGAACTAATTTGTTTTGTGCATAAGTCTGCATTCTTTCCATATAGATGGGTGCTTATGTAGTTTGGTGTTTTTATTGTTCTTTGTGGAGCAACTCATTTCATAAATTGGTGGACATCCTTGATGCACAGTAAGGTGATGACTATATCAATAGTCTCACATGCTATTTTGTCTTGTGCAACTGCACTAATGCTTCTCCACATTATTCCTGATCTGCCAAGTGCAAAAACGTGTGAGTTAATCCTCTAGAAGAAGGTTGAGGGGCTCAATAGGGAGATGGGACTCATTCTTACACAAGAAGAAACTAGAAGACATGTGAGAAGGTTGACCCATGAGATTAGGAGCACTCTTGACCGGCATACCATTTTAAAACTATACTTGTTGAATTAGAAATGACTCTAGGCTTGGAAGAATATACGCTGTGGATGCCATCAAGAAGTGGTATTATAAGATATCCAACGTGTCTAATCTAGGTACATTTAATTTTGCATGGTTGATTCTCAAATTGCCTTTCAAGCTTTTTTTTTAATTACCATGTTTTAGAAAAATACAATGTGTGGTAGTATGGTTTGATCCTTATATTAATCTTTGTTCATTCGTGGTAATTTATTCATGTGTACTAGTAATTGTGGCTAATAACATACATATACCTCGTGGTGCTTTATATTTCCATATGTTGTCATAAGAGGCTAATGTATAAAAAGAAAAAGATGTATATGTGTGAGTGTGTGCGCGCGCGCGCATTTATGGTTTATTTGTAGTGTGAGATTTCAAAAGTCTCCGCAAGCATTTAAATTTAAAATGATCTCATACCATGTAAATTAATAAGATTTCGCAGATATGAGGATCAATTTTGTATATAATAATGTGGGTTCCAAAAACTCATCATTAGAATTAATTATCTTTTTATAATTAATAAAATATTTAAGTCTCATAAGAGATTTTAAAAATCTTCATAGAGAATTAAATTAAGTGCATTATTGTGTAGGATAATAAATCCTCACAGAATTTTGCAATTATTAATTTATATAGTAAATAAATATTTTTTTGTAAATAAAATAATAAACATTTTTTATAATATTAATTAATTAAATTAATACATTTGAATTATAATCACATTTTCTAATTAGATCTTTTGGTCACGTGAGACCGTAGACCTTTTAGGACAATCGTACTATCGTGAGAGTCAATAAGGCTTCGTAGGTATAACGATTAAAATTTCTATATTTAAAAATAAAAATTATATAATTACATATTTTTAAAATATATAATATTTAATCCTTTATGGTGTGAGGATTTTGAATTTCTGTAGATATTTAGGATAATTGCATTACCGTAAAAGCCAATAAGGCTTTGCAGGTATGATGATTAAAATTATCTAAAAAAACATATATATGCATGCTTGAATAAATTATTATAAACATATAAATAAATTTAATTCTTTTATCGTGAGAGATTTTGAAATCTCTGCAGATATATAGAATGATTGCATTATCGTATGAGCCAATATGGCTCTATAGGAACTGCGATTAAATTTATAATCATAAAAATATAAAAAAATAATTTTAGACCCTTTTCTTTTCCAAAAATTCAAAAATTGAGAAAATAATTGAAATTAAATTACTTTTTGCAATTTAAAACACACATATCAAAATTTCAGAAATTGTTTTGTTTACAAAATAGTGAATTATTTATAATTAATTTCTCTTCAAAAAAATATTTTTACCAACAATTTTCAAGCCCGAACTACGTGGACTTTGATCCCCATCACAGGGTACGTAGGCCTCAGAGTCAGATTTTGAGTCAAGTCCTCTCCGTAAATAAATAAACATTTCACGCTTAAGTCTTATTTTTTTATCAAACACATGAATAGAAAAGGAATAATTAAAATAATTTTAAAACCATATTAATATAGCACAACAAACTTTAGGTAACCGTTCTTATGAACGGATGTTGTGGGATGCCTAACACCTTCCCTACACTCAACCAACTCTCAAACCTATTCTCTGATTTCGCAGATCACCTTTATCCACTTTAAACGGTTTTCCAAGATTTTTCTCAAAATCTTGGTAGCGGCTCCCATTTCTTCAGCCTTCCTTTTAATTCTTTCCAAAGTCAGAACCTCCGCTCTCGCGCCATCCGCGTCACATTTCTGGGTGCGACAGCTGCCCTTCTTGCCCTTCTTCTTAAAAGGTTGTTTGTCTTTCTTTATTTAGGGCCACTCTTGTTACCCTTCTTTTATTGCTTCTTGCCCCTCTTGGGCTTAGAATTTGAAGGACCACCTTCCTCAACAAGGTAAGCCTATCCAGATGACTTGTAAGCCTCCAGATGTTCAGCCTCTAGCTCTAGGTGCTTAGCCACATCGTTAAAGTTAACAATGTTTTCATTATGGGTTAAGTTAACTTTCATATGCTCCCAGCTGGTTGGGAGTGATCTGATTATAGCCTATACTTACTGTTCATCAGAAAGATCATGCCCGACTTCTTTAAGTTCACGAATCATGTTGGCTATCTCTCTAAGGTGCTACCACATAAGAGTATTCAGCTTTAGTTTATAAGTGTCAAATTTAATTATAAGCCTTCTCAGTTTGTTGGTTGAGGTACCACCAAAATTTTCTTTTAAGGCAGCCCACATGGCTTGAGCAGTGGAGTGCTTCTCAAATTCGCACATTAGATTGTCCACCATAGCACTTAGAAGTGTTATTCATGCGATGTTATTTTTTCATTTTCATGTCACAAATGCCTCTTGGTCTCTCTGATATTGAGCCAAGTTTCTTACCTCAGGCTTGGCCATGACCACAATTAGTGGCTCAACAGCATCTTGTTCTTCCAAAATATATAACACTATACGGTGCCAAATATCTCAGTTATCCCCATTTAATTTGTCTCCCTTATTCAATTCAGAGATAATACTTTTTGTTGCCATTCTTAGTTCTGAGACGAAACTATCCCACATTAATAGTTTTCTATATTAAACCAAGAATAAAATACTTATGGGAAATATACAATATCTTATATTTGTATTACTCTTTATTAGAGTGATAACAACTCTATTAGGTCAACGATCAGGAGACTGCGTTTGTATCTCCCATCACATTGATTCTAACAAAATCACTATCGTCTATAAAGAATTTTATAAATATTTTCATAATCATCATATATGGCTCTTAAATAATTTATCACTTTAGAGCTCCTACTCAAATAAAGTATATATAAAGCAATTAAACGTAAAACAACATGCTTCATATATTTCATAAATCATCAAGGTCTTAATACAACATAACTTACTTAAAAAACAAATTCTTGAAATACAGAAAAATGCTCAAGGTATAGACCTAAAAAGATAACTCTTAATTATGTCTTTATATTTTTCTTGTACTTTTATCCCTTTAATGGCTCTGCTCCATAGAGAATTTTTAGAGTACGACTTGGTTCATTTGTTATGTTGCACAAGCTCCTTCCTAAGTTGTTTGAAAATTTCTGCTACAACCATGGCTTGTTTTTCTTTTATTATGAAGCTTGAATATGCTCTCACTATCGGAGAAATTTAATCTGGCTTTTTTATTCTTTTAGCTTTTCTTTTTGCTATATTTATGATCACTGAGGGTATGAAAGGTTATTTGACATCTTCATTTTCATTTTAAACATTCTCATTACCCTCTGATTCATGTTTTGGTCTCGATAGCATGCGCATCTCTTTAGGTCCTACAGGTACATTTTCAAGATCAGCATTAGATCTTCTTCTGGATCAGAATCAGAATCCTCACTTTAAAGTTCATATTCTTCTGGTTTCTAAGCCCAAGACTATTTTTCAGGGCTTCTGGGCTCATAGCCCAAAATCCACCTTTTCAAGTTTTTTTGGAACGACGTGTCGTTTTGACGAGGATAGAAACGACGCATCATTTCTATCTTTGTCTACCTCCAATCGGGTCAACTTGACCTGGTTCATCTGGGGGTCGGGTCGTTAGACCCGAAGCTTCCAGAGGCCATATCTCCTCCATTCAGTCTTTATGTTACGCGTTCTTGGTGTCGTTTTCTTCATTTTTTCAACACCTACATGTTTATGCAATCCTTTTTCTTAAAAAACTCATTTTTTAAATACTCATTATTTGGTTTTGTTTTTGGTCGTTATGTTTTTCATTGTTGATTGCATGCAAAACATGTATAACTTTACATGGAACACTCATATTAACTAAGAAGCATATAAACACGTTCATTTTGGCAGTAATAATCATAAAGACAGACAGAGGCAGATTCATGCGTAAACACGGTAAGAAAACAAAAAATTGAATTTATAGATTTGCATGTATATGGTTAAGCAAATCATTATAGGTTCTTCAGACATAGGAAACATAGCCCAAGAAAGATGAAAGTTCTGATATCAATACAAGAATATGAGGAGGAAAGCATACCTTGAGTCATTGATTTACACGGACATATGCGGGAACAAAGCTACACCGGTCGAACTTCGTTCGGATACACATAACAAATGCACACATTGAGAGAATGAAGAGCCAGGAAAAACAAAAAAAACGTTCGGTTCTTTCTTTCATGCAAAAAACAAACTACTGAGAATTGCACCCCTAACCATCTCTTATGGAACGTGCGGTAGTTGCTTCTTAACCGTTCATGACCCAAATTCCAAGGTTGGAGAATATTATATTTGAGGCCCTGAGTAAATTGCACATCGAACCCAAACATTTCTCATAATTGTGACAAAAATCCCATTTCTCAATTTGGGCTTTTACATGGGCCTGATCCACCAAGGGTGGATAACCCAACAACATATATACATGAATTTGTAAGAAAATTATAATGTCTTATGAGACTACTTTATTATAACTAATTTACCATATGTAAAATAACAAAACAAATATTCTTGGACTTACATCCTTTTGATTGCTATTAACTAATGATTGGTAGCCATTGACTGGTCACTGGCCAGCATAACTAGTCAAAAATAAGTTTTTTTAAAAAATTATTTTTTAATATTAGAAATTTACAATTTAAACTTCTTATTTTTAAGAGCTGACCTATTATAATATTATTAAATTAATATTTATGAGTCAACTTTACATATTTACAAATTAAATATCTTAAATTTATTGAATGTCAACATGGTAGATTTAAAATTAAATTTATATAATTTTTACAATAATATTCAATTTTTACAAATTGATTTATGAGTCAATTTTTTCAATGGGTGAAAGAGCAAATTAGCCTATAAATGTTTGATCCAAAAGTGTTTGGGCCCTACTTATTTTTTTGTACAATGTTCTCTTCAACTTTGAATATTAATTGATCAAGGAAAAAAAAACCTCAAAAGTTATTACAAAAATGGGCTAAAACATTATAATAAAGGACCTAAAAAATACATACAATAACCCAAAAAAATTATAAAAGATGAACAAGAAAATTTTTTTGGTCTTATTTTGTACTTTTTGATGTCTTTTATTATTTTCTTGTCAACTAAATTAAAATTAACTTTTGTTAACTATAAGGGCTATATTGCACCATTTTCAAAAGTGGAAAAAAAATATTGCACAAAAAAAATAATAAGTTTAGAGTCTTAGACACTCCTATACCAATATTTTATCATATCAATTTCCTTTTTTAGATTTTTAAAATTTATTGGCCAAACCTAGAAATTCACAACTTAATAAGGTAAAAACAATTAGTCTACTTGTAATAATTATATTTACAATAGTATGATAACAGGCTACTTAATTATTCACATCAAGTGTCCCTTTTTGAATATTTCAAATTCGGCCACATATCCCTTTTTCGAATCATACATATAATAAATACCCTGTTTAAAAAAATGTAATGTATAATCTATGATAAATTCTAAATGTGCCGGTAAGGGGAAAAAAAAAACAAGATTCTGTGTCAAAAAAAAGTATCCTTTTTCGTTAATAATTGAGTCAGATTACACTTAAAAGGGCTCCACCGCCACACACTGCCCTCCTCAAATTATTGTGGAAATCAAGCGCATTTATCATATCGTCTGAAATCTATAATAGAAAGAAAACATCATATTGCGTGTCACGTACAAGGGAAGTTCCTAATCAAGCACCGAGAAATGACATTCAGAGTCCACCTCCTACAGATGAATAATAGGACCCGCCATTCCCTACAATGGATGTCAGAGGTCGTCCAGGTCCTGCATGTACGACGATCAATACAGTTAATTAGTTAAACTCAAAGTGAAAAGGGCGGGAAGGGAAGAAGTGGGGCGAGTTCTATAGTTAATTACCTGAGAATCAGTAGTCCAGTAGGTAACGTTGTCTTTCAAAAGTTGCATGATATTTGTGCTTTCTTTACAGTGCTCTTCTTTCATAGTATCCAGCTCAGACATTGCATCTTCAAAAGCCTTTCAAAAAATGAAAACCAGCAAGAGCTTAGTAGATTTTCGAATTGAGTGTCTATTCCTGTTTTTCTGTTTTTGTCCTCGGAATTAGCAAAGCATAAACGGGAAATAAAGAGAAGGATAGATTCGTTTACCATGAAAAAGAGAGAAGGATGGAGCCTAAGGAAGTGGGGAGTAATGTCACAAGAATCAAGATAGGTATAAATTTAGCATATGGCTTATTGATTCTTGGCAGCTGAATAACTACATTTTACACGTTAACAGCACATTCCCCCCCCCCTTCTTGTGGAAAGTGGAATCTTCCCTATCTGATTTATAAATGAACCAAAAAAAAAAAAAGAATTACGACAAACTAGCCGTTCCAATGAACTAACTGGCACCTAACTGGAATGCAAAGAACAGGCAGCAAGCTTCATGGGCAGAATTCGTAGCAGCAATAGAAGATTGCATTTCAAAGAACACTGCACGTAATTAGGGAAACAAACTACTAGAGCAAGTCTACAAAAATAATCTACTGTGCGTCTTTACACTCTGATCCACATAACGGACAGAGTCAAGAAGTATGGACGTGTTTCATGAGTAAATTAAAATTCCATTCAAAAGTTAAAAATACCATATGATATCAGACTGAAGATGAAGCATACCTGGTTAGCCATCTCGTATGCTTTCGTAGATTGCTGGAGAATTTCGTAGTGGAATACCGAAAAGTTAAGTGCCAGACCCAACCTTACAGGATGAGTCGTAGATAGATCCGCATTAGCAATGTCCTGGGAGGTACAAATTATCAGCAAGCCCAAAGTTTAATAGACTAAGCAACAGAAAAATATCAACTCTGACTTCAGTTAACAATCCTGCTACTTAAAATGAGCAGAACTATTATAGACTAAGCAACAGAAAAATAATGTGGGCCCAAGTACATTAATTGGGACAGAAACATAAAGTCTCAATTAATTAAAAACAAAGAGTACATTAAAGCAGTAATAAAGAAGCTCTGGAATCTGAATCTTCAGGATTCGGTTGGCATCGTCGACCCTGTCGATGCCCAAATACTTAATGAACTAGTGAAAAAACGTAATCATACTTTTAACCTTGGTTCTTCAAAACTGAAAGTAGCATTTCCAGAGCTAATTAGAGAAAATGATTACCTGCGCAGCTTTGTAAGCTGACATGGCATCGTCAGCAGCAGCCTTCCCTTCCCGCCCAACCCTGAACTCGGCCATATACCTATGATAATCTCCTTTCATTTTCAAATAAAAGACCATCGACTCACTGGTAGAAGCGGAGGGAATCAGATAGGAGCGCAACAGCTTCAAGATACTATCACCCACCTTGGACAGCTCGGACTCGATTTCGGATCTAAAATTCTTGACAAGAGGAACAAGGTCGTCGTTCTTGTGAGCCTCCTCCTTCTGCTCGATGCTGCAGAGGGCCCGCCAGGAGGATCGTAGGGAGCCACTGAGATTCTTGTAGGCGATAAAGACGAGATTCCGCTCCTCGACGGTGAGCTCGGAGGAAGGAGTTGAACGCAGGACAATATTCCTCATGAACGTGACCATCTCCTCGAATCTCTCGGCTTGCTCGGCCAACTTAGCTACGTACAGACATTGATCTCTGGTCAGGTTTTCCGGCGATAAGGCCATTTTCCCGCCCGTTTTACAGAGAGTGGAGTGAGAATCCTTGAAGGTGTACGTGGTTTGGGCGAAGGAATGATCGATCTCTCCCGGTGAGAACCACTGTCTTCTTTATTCGATAACCTCTCTCTTCTTCCTTTTTAAATCCAATCCAAAGATGGTTGATTCGCAAGTTCATAAGTTCGATGGAATCAACGACATTATAATTATATAAATAATAATCAAGATTAATTCAAGAGTGTGCAACCGACTGGTGTTGAAAATTCAATTTCGTTTACAAATAAAATAAATAAATTGATCCAACTATACCGAACCGAATTGGTTAGGAGATCTCCGACTAAGTTAACCTCTGTTAATTTGTTAAGATTCCGTTGTAATGAACTTCGTTAAAAATCAGAAGCTTGAAGCCTGTGATGACCAATAAGGCAAGTCAAGCACTTCTATTTTCTTATTAAATAAAATTTAAGAAAGAGGCTACTGTGCATAAGTTACGTGTTTGCTAAATGAGTAATTCAATATTTTATAAAAAAGTATAACGCGAACATAACTTTTAGTCTCTATATTTTTTTTTATTTTAAGTTCTTACATTTTTATTTTTTATTATTTTTGGTCCCTCTATAAGCAAAATATAGGAACTTGAATGGATCCAAAATAATGAAAAATAAAAATATAAGAACTTAAAATATAAAAAAAATTATGAGGACCAAGAGCAAAACGTGAGTAAAATATAGAGATCAAAAATTATGTTTATCTAAAAATATATACCAAATTGTTCCTAACAAGCTCTTGTTTTTTTTTTTTTGTTTTTGCTTCGGCCTAAGTCCCATCCAAGAAGTTTGGAGTTTAAACCAAATGAATGGAACTATATTTTATCGGGTTTGTTAAGTTAAGTTTTATTCCATTTTTTGCCTAGTTTATTTTTAATACGTATCAAGATTCAGACTAATTGAACCAGCATTTACTTCAGTGTCAATAAGAGTATTAACTCGATACGTAAAAAGTTAAAAACTAATTCAACAATTATGCTTGAACTTGAAATTCATGACTTTTCAAGTAAAATATTATTAATAATATAAAATATATAGCAAATCATACATAAAATTACAAGAAACTCGTTACATTTCCATTTGCGATGCTTATCACTTAGTTGTTTATGTCGCGGTTGTTTTGCTGGCGTTTATTTAACTTGATAAGTGTGAATCGCAATAAAATTGAGGGAAATTTGAATCCAAAGTTGGCATAAAAAATTCACTGGTGCTTGTAAATTATGTTAATTTCTCATCATAGATTGAGGCCATTTTTTTATCTGAATGTTTTGGTTTTTTTTTTGGCACTTTTATTTTACTCTTTGGTTATGAGTACCCTTATTAAGTTTGATCGTCTGTCCAGTTTTTGATTAAATTAGATCATCCCCTTCAACACACATTATTTACAGAATAATTAAAAGAACATAATCGTTTATGGAATTGACAATTCATAATTATAATTTTTATCTTTTTTTTAAACTCCCAAATACACTATTTGCATTTATTTTTATAAATGTAAAGAATCTACTCTTTTCACTAAAAAAATATAAGACATTTTTTTATAGGTTGGATTTTTGAAAATGTAAGGAATTTTTAATATTTCAAGATATAATTAATGTTTTGGCAAAAAAAAGTATAACTAATGTGTTTTTCTAAAAATATCCTTAATAAATAAAGCACTTCATATTTATTTTTAAGTGAAACATTCTATTATTAAGTGAGGGTAAATATGTAAAGATAGTATTGGTTTAAGAACATTTAACTAATTTATTAAAATAATATTAGATTAAAAATATTTGGGATAAAGCAAGTTTTAGTCCCTTATGTTTGAAAGTATTGTTGATTTGGTTTTTCAACTTTAATTTTTATCATTTCAATTCTTAATATTTCATTAATTTATTCAAGTAGTCTTTAATTTTATGAAAAATTAACATTGTTAAATTATGCCAACCTGACTGACCGAATGATGATGTGACAGTCACGTAAATTAATATTATGGGAAGCAAAGCGAGCTCACTTGGATAATTAAAAAAAAATTAGGATATTAAAAAAACTACCTGGATTAAACACTGGTAGCCTTCAACTCAATCAAACGGTGATCCATCCGCCTAGCCTCCATCTCTTAGGACAAGAAGACTGTCGCTGTCATCGCTCTTTACCAACGACTCGTCTGCTTCGTCGAAGAGGATCGGTCTGGAGATTCAGATGAACTATGATATATTCTTTTTGATTCTATTTATAAAGTAGAGATAAAAAAAATTTGATCATTACTTACCAGTTTTCAATGCTTTTCTTTACATTTATTTTTATTAAATATTTTGAATAAAAATATTAATAATAAAATTTAGAAATATTTATTAAGAATAAAGGTGAAAACTTTTTAAACTTTAAAATAGAATTAATGAGATTTAAAATTTTCTTGATTCCTACGAGACATGTTGGAAAAGTAACTTATAAATAAAATTAAAAGATAATAAATACTTTCATATTAATGAAGATTTTGGGCAAATCAAGAATGTTTTCTCATAGAAGACTGGCACACTCACTGAGAACAAGATGGAGTTTCAATGTACGAGCATCTAGGATGATGATTACAGTAAAACAAATGACAGTCAGGAGAATGAGCAAGTTGAATACTATGTTGAAGGTACAATTTCTTCTTCATGTTAAATAGTTTGTTTGAATAATTTCTTGGCAAATCCTTTAATGTATCTGATCTTATTTGTAAATTAATAATGAACGTCCTGTTTTGTGTTTGTTATTAGAGTGGATGAAGCAGTGTTAAGAGGTCCAAGATGAAGGTGAAAATAAATCAATCCATAAATTTTGCGGCTATCCCATTGTACCGTTTATCCAATGGCAAGTCTTCCTTACGTTTTTACCAAAAAAAAAAAGAGAGTCTTCCTTACATTATAATATTAAATTATGAATTATAAAATAATGAAGGCTAAAATATACACTTAATCATTTAATTTTACATAACATTTTTAATATGTCTTTTTGTTCTTTTAATTTTAATACTGTTAGTTTTATCCCAATAGATTTTTACATTAAATTTTCAAATATTGATAATACATTTTTAAATATTGACATATTAATTTTTTTTAAAATAATAATAATTGACACAAAAAATAATCATTTGACACTAACAACGTTTGGGTTAAAGGACTAAAAAGATATTTTATAAAATTAAAAAGTTAAATTAAAATTTTATATAAAGTTTAGAGGACTAAAAAATAAATTTTAGCTAATAATGAAATGAATAACAGACCAATAATTAAAACTCGACATATTAGTTCATGTGTTTTATTTAATCAACGTGTATATTTTATTTCAACAATATAATTTTCACACTGTTCGTGGTTGAACAACAAATACCAGCCGTGCTAGAGACACTGAGTCTCAATAGATAACAAAAAGGATCCCGAGTTCTTTTACCACAGTTCGCTCGGATGTAAAAAGATAGAAAGCTTTGGTAGAACAAGTATGTAATTTGATTGAAGTGTAAAAGTTACAGATTAAAAACTAAGAACTGAAAAAAGGACTAATGAATGTAAACTATGCGGGTCTTGATAAAGTGTTGACTACTTTTCTATGTTTTTCTTCTTTTTATTTATAGTGTTGAATAGTTGAAGCTTTTCCTTTGAGACTTAGCATATTCTACTGAAGAATCATGAATCTTGTGAAACTTATGGTATGGTCTCTCCATTTTGATAACTAGCCCGTTTCACTGAACTACTTGGGTGTAGATTTCGACATTACTTAGGATCGTGTTTTCATGCCAACGGTCTGATATTTAAGCTGACGAGATTTCGGCTCGTTTATTTATTGTAGACTTTATTAAGCTTCGGGGTCGGCCTCTTTTGTTTATATTAGGCCTGATGCTTTGACTACTCAGCCTAATTAGCTTCGTAACCTATTTAAAAGACGTTTCATATTTAGCCCAAACACATATCAGCTTTTTCTGAAGGTTATTTTGTCTTGAAAATTTTAAAGGAGTAATTTAATAATTGAATAAAATATTAAGAATTGAAATAATAGAAATTAAATTTAAGAGATTAAATTGATAAAAGTTTTAAATAAAAATAAAAAATTATTTTATCGCAATATATACTCCTTCCGTTAAAAAATGTGAGGCATTTTTAACTAAATCTCAACTCCAATAAAGTAGTTATCTACTTTCAAACTAACCTTATCTTTCTATATTTATCCCTATTAAATACTTTACAATAAATATAAAGTCATTTATCAATAAGGATACTTTAAAAAAAATAATTACATCTTAAAAGATTAAACATATCTTATATTTTTAAATATTTAATTTTTTTAAAAAATATCTTATATTTTTAAATATTTAATTTTTTTAAAAAAATATCTTATATTTTTAAATAAATGAAATATATATATATTTGACGGAAGGAGTAAAGTAGTTTGCTGCTGGATATCTGAATCATCTAGGTATCCGCTTTAACTTTTACCCTGCATCTAATTTGATATGATTTTCTGTTACTAGTCCACCCATCTCTAGATTAGCCTTTAAGCTTGTAATTAAGGACTTTTGATCAAAATGCGTTGCGTTCGGTTTCGGTGCTCAGCGCCCACTGAGCACCATGGTGCTCATCGGCCAAGACGCATCGTTTAATTAACAGTGGAGAATCGCATCCATTAATTACGTTTTAATCCCGATCGTTCATTCATTTTTTATTTAATTAAATTTTGAATAATACCTTATTACAGTTATCAGGTTGGAGAGTTTCCCAAACTAGAGCTCCTCCTCATCGGTGCTGTCACAGGGTAACTCGCATCCCTGCTAATGAGCAAGAGCCAACTAGAACGGCACCTCAATTTCAAATTTACTTCTAGTGATCCTTAGCAATTCGACCCTATCAAAAGATTTCATTGCAAGGTTCACTGAGTCAATTAATATGAATTTTCGATAATAAATGGCAAAACAATCTCAATCCATCCAATCGCCATCACCACCGCCACCCACAGACCTCCCTGCCTTTCGCAGGTTGTTCTCCCTCTTCTTGTTCTACTCCTTTCAATTTTTCTCACATAATCGCTATTTTTGTTATATTTCTTTTAGTCAATTAGAGGAGCTTATAGAGCTTCACAACCATTATAGTAAAG